GATCCTTGATAGGTTTTTCGGGTCTTTCATCTGATATTCCTTTTAATTTATATTCTTCCGGGTGAGTGGGATAATCTTTAATATGCATATAATATAAATAAATATATATGTTGATTATATGATGAGTATGATTAGTTAATCTCTTGAATATTTATATATTTTGCTTCATTTTTTTAATACTCATCTATTCTTGAATTTGCACTCGCATTCTATCGAGTTAAATTATATTTGATATGATATACGTTTCTTTGATAATTCTGTAAATATCTATTATGCCTTGATATAGGACTTGTCAGTAACTCCATGCTAACGGGGAGTAGTTAGCCTATGTACATATAATATTTTGTATACCTAGCTGGTGAGAGAAGCATCGGCCTGTGGCGACTGATCATTCTCACGATGGTCACATTCGGGTGTTATTTAATCACATTCGAGTGTCATCTGATCTTTGACATGTATTCCACTATATATATATATATATATCATCTTATAAATTATTAATATCTAAAATATATATTAAATATTATTCCCTCATTGAGTTGGTTGAACTCACCCCTCAATCTTAATATTATTTCAGGTTCTTAGCTTCTGATAGCAGTTGGACTTTGTTAAGTGTTCCTGCTTCTTTAGTTTTGGATGGTATGTCTTACTTGTTTTGTGAGGCTTTCCTTTTAGTTTTGATTCGATATCTTAGGCACTCCACTATTATCCTATTTTAATTAAGTTTGGATTTTGACAATGTAATGAGTATTATGGATTATTATTTTTGTTTTAATTATTGATGAAGAGTTTTAAACTATCTTTTAGGTTTATCAGTTTTGAATAATATAATATTTCTAAAGATTATGAAATGCTGCGTATTTTTGAATAACTTGCTTTTTTGATATGTTCGTTTTGAGGCTTAGAGTAAATAGGGTGTCCTTTCAACACCGCTCCTGCGTTGCCAGTCACGGACCCGGGATTCGGGCCGTGAAAAATTCCTTCTCTCCCCTCCTTTTTTCCTCTCCATTAGACACTGCTTGAACCAGATTTACCACAGCAATCTTACTAATATCCTGCCCGCTGCTTAGGAGGTGTGAGTGTGTGCGCGTTACTAGTGATCTTTACAAGGCTTACTGGACTCAATTACACTGCTTATCATGACCCGAATCCCGGGTCCGTGATTGGCAACGCAGAAGCAATGTCAAAAAGACATCACATTTACGCTAAGCCTCAGAATAGACGTATTAAAAAAACAATTTATTCAAAAATACACAACATTTCATAATTTTTAGAAATATTATATTAATCAAAACTGATGAAACCAAAAGATAGTTTAACACTTCTCATCGGTAATAAAAAAAAAATAATAATAATTCATAATACTCATTACATTGTCAAAATCCAAATTTAATTAAAACAAGGTAACAGTGGAGCATCTAAAACATCAAATCAAACTAAAAAAAAAGCCTCGCAAAATAAGTAAGGCATACCGACCAAAATTAAAGAAGCAGGAACACTCAACAAAATTCACCTGCTATCAGAAACTAAGAACCTAAAATAATATTAAAAATGAGAGGTGAGTTCAACTAACTCAGTGAGGAAATGATATTTAAGATACATTTTATATATTTTGGATATAATAGTTTACAAGATAATTTATCTTGATATACATATACATATATATACTAAACATATTGTTATAACGTGGTGGAATGCATGTCAGAGATCAGATGACACCTGAAGATAACCACTATGGGATGATCAGTCGCCATAAGCTAATGCTTCTCTCATCAGCTAGGTATACAGAATATTATGTGCACATAGGCTAACTAATCTTCGTTAGCATGGAATTACTGACAAGTCCTATATCAAAACATAATAGATATTTACAGAATCATCAAAGAAACGTATATCATATAAATAGAATTTAGCTCGATAGAATGCGAATGCAAATTCAAGAATAGATGAATACTCGGAAAATAAAGTAAAATATATAAATATTCAAGAGATTAATTAATCGTACTCATCATATAATCAACATACATATTTAGTTATATTATAGGCATATTAAAGATTATTTCACTCACTCAGAAGAATATAGATTAAAAGGAATATCAGATGAAAGACCCAAAAAACCTACAATAAATATATGAAAGATTAAGGATCGTTAGAGAAACCTACAATAAATATATGAAATATACTCAAAAGCAACTCAAAACAACATAAATAAAAGATTTCAATGCATAAAAGAAAACCAAATTTAGTTTCCTAGGTTTATAGACTAAAACGACAATTATCCAAAACAAGGACCAAAATGTAATTTTTTCAAAACTGGACCAAACTATAAATACATAACCATACTGAAATTTCACCCATAAAATATCCTCAATTCTGCCCAGAACGACACAGGGACCAAACTATAATGTTTTAAAAGTTTAGGGACTAAAATGTAAATTCCTAAAATTAAGGGATCAAACTAAAAATATTCCAAATCAATTATCAAACTGAGATTCATCATCCTTAACCTCACAATAACACTGTACAGAATCTCAAAATACATTTAAGGGTGAAATTGTAATTTTTTCAAAGTTTAGGGACTAAACTGAAACTTTCACAATTTAAGGACCAAAATAAAATTTGATTATCTTCAATCTCAAGACCATTCTGTCCAGATTTTACAGTAAGATAAAAATTAATTTCTTAACCCATAAAAATTAATTTAAACAAATCAACTCACAAATCCTTATTTCTTACAGCATATTAATTAATCATCTAACATTAAACCCTGTAATCATAAATCAATCTTAACAATATAAACTTCTAATTCTTATAAACCCTAATATTTTCTTTAATCATTCTATAAACAAACTATAATAGAAAATAATATGAAAAAGAATTACTTACTTATTACTTTCACCTTTCTTGAACCAAAAATTCAAGATTAAAAACTAAAATCTTTAGTTTGAAGACAGGATAATCATGGTGGCTATAAGAATTAGAGGAGAAGAAATAAATTCTCTTACAATTCTTTCTTAAATACCTAGATTAACTTAAGTTAAGTTTGGGTTAACTTGAAATTAGATTTGGGCCAAAAATTTGTGTGTTACACCGCAGACATCTTAACATGGTTAGGAAGCCTATAGTTTTTTTTTTATTATTATTTAACACTCCAAATTCGAGGCCTCTTGCTGACTGTGAAGCAAGGATTGAGGTGTATTGGTCCCCAAGACAATTCTTTCCTTTTAATGGTAGAAAGCAAGGGACCATTTGAAAACCTGGAATTCAACTGGAACAAAGAAGGGAGAACCACTCAATTCTCTTCTTCTATTTCCAGAGTTCAGTGGCTTCCAGCACTATCATTTCAATGGCATCTGTTGCGCCAACCTCATCTACATGCAGGCACCTGCTTCCTTAACCTCAAAGAGCCATAACTATACTTGTAAATGTTCATAATATTGAATTTAGAACAAGAGAGGAACTGTTTTTCTCTGGTTAGGTTAAATTCTTGATTTTTTGTCATCAAATTAACTGAAGAAACAGTAAAATTACACAATAAAGAAATGCAGGGATCAAATTAGTCTCAAATCAACAAGCTCTACGAAATAGGTACACGACAGAAGACTTGACAGTCGAGTCGAACCAAAATGTTCTGCAAAGCACTTTGGATGCTTTGTGGGCTTAAGTTGAGGTGAGAATACCGTTAAGCAACTAATATCAAATTTAGTACTCATAAACTAATGATGAATGAAGAAACTAAGCATGAACTCATGCAAAGAAATTTTGTAACATTTCAAATGTTTCTTCAAGAACATGATGTCACTGTCATTCTCACAGAAATACATACCAGCAAAAATCATTGCTGGGACAGCACTAAGTTGTGGAAACTGACAGAAGAATGAGAACTCATCTGATCTCAGTGAATCCTTGAGACAAAACTATAAGAGTACAAAGAAAATTTACCACTCCACTCACTTCCAAACTTGCTACAGCGCCAACCAATTGCAGTTGCTCATCTGTTTCAAGAGTTCAATCCTTGATCAAATAATGTGTCGCTCTCATTTAACGAGTCCTAGAAATTCAATCTCGCCCTCGTATGCCTTGATCACTTCAGAGCAATCCTCCTCATGATAAGCCAGGAATTACATCTTTTAAAAATCATTCTTACATATATTTAAAATCCAGGTGACATTAACGTCCTTAAACATCAGCACATTCAAAACTGAGCATCTTGGACTGATTCTCTTCTCCAAACTAATGTCCAGAAGATTGGGGCGTCTAGCAGCATCTGATGGCCTCAGGCCAACCTTTTTACTTAGAAATTCATTAATTTCCTAATCTTGTTGAGGTTGAAGTACAAAACTCAAAATGTTTAATATAGAAGTGTAAATGGGGTAGGATTGATTTATGCTTAGTTTGATGTATAAGATAAAAATTTTAATTGAGTTGAAACTCGGGAAGAGTAAAATTCTTAAGGATTTTTTTTTTCCTAGTATTGAAAAAACTAAAGTTTAATGTGTTCTTGCTTTGAAGAAAATACTTGTTAGAAAAATATATAGCATTCACAAGTGCAAAACAAATAATTTAAGATTAATGATTTTCGTTATGTGGGTCAAAATCTTATTATCATAAAGACTTATAGAACCAATCGTTACTGATTATTTTAATTTCATGGAGAAGAAAATATTTTCCACTTTAAACATTAAAAACAATGTTAGAATGAGATCCAAGTACAGTTTTTTTTTTGTCTAAAATAATTTTTTTTTTAGTTATTTTATTTCACTTTTTTTTAATTCCAACGACATCATATTGTGATATTTCTGAGTTGACTCGCTGACCCGAGCTTTTAAATACTTATGGATATAACACAAGATTATCAGCTAAATTTATGTTTCTTTGAGATTGGTATCTCAGATAAAAGTTCCAATTTTTTTTCTTGAAGCAAGTTTTGGTTCGTTCTGAACTACAAAATTGAAAAATCCAGGGGGACATGCTGCTATCCACCAAAGAAATCAGTCCGAAGTTACTCAACACCATTATTTTGTTTCAACCTTTGCCTATTAGCACTTGAAACATTCTATTAGGGAAGTAAAGAGACCTAACCATGTTAATAACCAGCAGGAAAACCTCCTTTTCTAGGGTCGCTGACACCCACAAGCTTACCCCTACCTTTATTTTTCCTGCTAGTTTCTACATCAACAAAAATGAATTGACAAATACTCCCACCAGCAAGGCTTTGGAGGACATGGCCCCTTTTACGAAGGAATGCTCTGATATTAGCAGGAACTTCATAGTGTTCACCATATGGTGTCGTCCAATTCTCATACTGCACCACGTTGGGTATCAGCTGCAAAGACAACATTGTATGAAGGATGTTAGAAGCTTGGATTGATGGCTGTTCAAACTAACTACTAAATCTGTGAAAAATGGATGTTAATATACCCTTGGTTGCAGGCTTGAACCCAATATCCAAATTCTAAAACTCATAGCAGAAATACATATGTTGAAGAAATCAACAACAGTATAAAATGCTATTACCAGAGCTTAATTCCCATCATGATATGTGTGTGTGTGTGTGTGGTCATATTACTCATGAGTCATTGAGCTCAGAATACATTTACACAGATATAGATTAAACTGAACATAGGAACTTACCCAGAAGCCAAACAAACAGCAACAAACTGGAAAGTGTAGATCTTGTAAATTTTAATAAAAACGGGGAAGACTAATAAAACAGTTGGAAACAGAATAAAAAATATTAATGAAGTTAGCATCGTGGACATTAATAAAAACCTGATGATAAACTCTGGGAGCAAGCACAGAATGGAGTGGATCCATGCCCCTCAAATGATTTAAGATAACCTCTGTAGTCCCAGCAATGATCATGGCTCCTCCACTTGCACCTACCACGGCTTTCAGTTTCTCATCCTGCAGAAGCATGGGAAGACATGGAAAGATTAAACAGTAGTGCTAGGTATAGAGGTAATGATTTCATGGCAAGCATGCACAATATCGGTCCAAAAATTTAGCAAAAGATTCTGGCAAAACAAGCTTTGCAATATTAGTTATCTATGTTCAGAGGCCAATAATGTAGGGTATGCTATCCTAGCCCTTTGTGCGTTGTGACCCCACTCAAAAAAGCATATTATCTGTAGGAAGATATTGGGATTCTGTTATCGACTAGCACAAAATTGAGTAGAGGAACCATGATATGTTGAGTAGAAAAATCTTAAAGCAGAATACCTTCAAAATGATAGTAGGCGTCATGGATGATAATGGCCTCTTCCCTGGGCGGATGGAATTGGGAGGTGCTGGAGGTGGAACGTCTCCATTGTTCATGGGGATAGAGAAATCATCCATTTCATTGTTTAGAAGTATTCCCGTACTCGGAGACAGTATATTCGAACCAAAATATGCGTTCACAGTATTGGTCATGGAGACAGCATTTCTTTCAGTATCTACAACTGAAATATGACTTGTGCCGTGATCATGGATCTGGTTCCACCTGACAGAAAAAAGAGTTCAGTGAAGATGATACTTATAGATGCTGTAAGATTCAAATAAAATATATTTAGTGCTTAAAGTTATAATCATGTAAACCATCCACACCCTCATCAAAGAAGTAGCGTACCTGCCACCATAATGACGAGGATCAAAAGTCATATTGTCATATATGGTTTTCTTTAACGTTTCAGCAAATTTGGGAGACAGCATGTCAGATACGACTTCAGTGACATTGATAAAATCAGGGTCACCAAGATTCATTCTAACAGCGAATGCATGTTTTAGAGCTTCAATTTCTCGATGGATCCCAAGAGGGCCCGAAAAGCCAGAAGGGGCTCCGTATTGGGCAAGAATGTTCAAAATCTGTGGCAGTGAAACTATTAATCGTAGTCTCTTTTTCTGCGAAGCATGAAGAAAGTAAGGACAAAGATACACACTTACAAGCATCATTGAAGCACCCCCCGAAGAAGGAGGGGGCATTCCAAGTATTTTGAAGCCTAGAATATCAGCAACGATTGGATCTCGCATTTTAACTTGATATCTCCGCAAATCCTCTCTTGTCAAGATCCCTCCAGCCTTCTGGATATCCTTAACCAATTTGGATCCTATTGACCCGTTATAGAAGGCCTCTATGCCATGCTTTGATATCTTCCCGAGTGTATGTGCTAGTTTCTGGTTGTAGCAGATATTTCCTGGTTGCAAAAGTTTGCCATTGGATGTAAGCAAGTCTCGAAGCCCCTTGTCAGCCAGAATCCCTGATTCTGTTTTGACCATCTGCATATGAAGGTACGGTGAAATTTTGAATCCTTTGCAAGCAAGCTGCTCAGCTGGCCTTACAAGCCTTTTCCATGGAAGCCTTCCATACCTTCTCCAAGCTCTGTGAAGACCAGCAAGTTCCCCTGGAACTGCTATTGAGAGCGCACCTCTAGCTTTTTTAGTAGCATTGCCAGCATACATATCCTGAAAAGAGAGAATCAATGTGAGTAGAGAGGGAGTACTGGTGGATTGATTCACTAGACAATGTTTCCCTTGATGAGTCTATGTAATCATGCATTTCCCTCATATTGTCTGAATAGAAATTGGTACCACCAGTGGAATTGTGGCACCCGAAGAGATCAGCTCTATGAAGGGCTATGGCATGTCTCATATGTAACACCAAGTGCGTATAACTTTTCAGGTGAATGATCTCTGTAAAGTTCAACACCATAAAAAACATAATTATTGAAGCAAATCGGAGCACCTCGGAAGCTTTCATAGGGGCAGTTTCTCTCATATCAAAGGCTTGTGCCTCTCCGCTAGCTAGCAAGATCAACATAAAGGATCCTCCCCCCATACCACTTGACGCTAGTCCCACGACTCCCAAGCAAAGAGATGCGGCGACAGCAGCATCAACTGCATGACCACCTTCACGAAGAGCATCCATCCCAATTCTGGAACATCTGCCATCATCAGTAGCAACAACACCATGGCTTGCCACAACTTCATGTCTTTGATGGGTTGGACCACCCGGATTGCCAAGACCAAAAGTAGGCAGCAGTGGTGAACTGAAGAGAAATGCAAGAGGTGTCCATAACAAGAGAAAAGCTGCAAACCAGAAATAGTGTTTAGATCAGCAACAGAGAAACTAAAAACACATTTTTTTTCGATCAACTTCGAATGAAAACAATAGGACAGGCAGCCTTCTTGCTTTAAGTTAACATCTTTGTGAGAGAGACAGGGGTGGAGGAAGAGGAGTTTGATGAGCCTCTTGGATCACAAATGTAAGTGACTTTTATCCATATCTACATCAAGCAAGCAATCAAATCAAATCAAATCAGACTACCATCTAAAATGCTTCGAATTTAGTGAAATAACTGGTGGGGGGGGGGGGGGGGAATGCTCCAGTTTCTAGCAAAACTAAAACTCTTTTGGTAAGAAACAAATTGAACTAACAGCCGCCATCAATAATCCACCAAGACTAATAGCAAAATGAAAAAAAACCGATAATATCACTCGTCCAGATGCGCATGTTAGAGATGGAAGAGGTCACAAAATAAACGGCAGAGTAGGATTACTTACATGCAGATGCCATTGAGTATAGAAAGCACAAGCAAAAGGAGATGTATTTCCACTCTCACCCAACTCACTTGGAAGGAGAGACTGTCACGGGAAAATTAGGACTCTATATTCTCAATTTATTCATGAACTAATCTATATTATAACTTTCATTAAAGGAAAAGGACAGGTTAACCTTGGTATGCTAAACTAGGAAGCAAATAAATTTCACAGTAACAAATTTATTTGCTACAGAAACCGGTCAGATTCTGTCAATCTTCATTCTCCAAATACCAGCATATGCAAATCCAATCAAAATCTATCTGCCATAGTTATCTCAGAAAGAAAATTTAATGAAAACATCACACCATAGACAGCACACATTTATAATCTTCTAGATATTTATTATCCATCTATCTGGCATATGATGCCAAGCCAACGCACAAAAAATTAAACGGCATGCTTAACTTAGCCTGAGTTGTTGTTATCTTCAAACATCTCCCAGATTCCTTTTAAAGGAAGAAATTGGATAACTACATTCAACACTCAAAAAATCTGGCATAGAATGATATGTCAATGCAAAAAAAAAAAAAATGGCAGCTTAGCCGAAGTTGTTGTTATCTTCAAACATTTCCCAGATTACTTCTACACAGAAAACACGACTGTTGAGAAAACAAATTAAAACAGTACATTTATATTTTGATGGTAATCCAATCAATAAAATCACAATTAGTAAACTTGTTTTTTTTTGTCCAATAAGATTACTATCAACCTATATTTGATGAAGTAATAAAAACTCTTATAATTCTACGGAAGTAATAACCTTGTTTTTTTATTGTCCTGGAATCACAATTTAAAAATTATTTTTTTATTATATCTTTTATGACATTTCTTGAAGTATTTATTTCATATTATATTTTTAAAATTACAAATAAAAATAAAATTTAACTTGAGTGTTTTTATAGTATACAGATAGTTAAATATTATCAGGTAGAATTTATTTTTCTTTTATTGTTATTGACTTGAGTAGCTTAAGGTTATTTTTTAAAATAATTATTAATATTTTAATAGTATTTTTAAATATAACAATTGATCTCCTGAAGATTTTTATTTAAAATCTTGATAAAAATACATGATGAAAAAAAGAACAAAGGCTGTATATTTTGGATTGAAATCCAATTTATACAATCATCAATTATATTAAAAAAAAATCAAGTAACACATTAATGATAAAATTAAAAAATTAAAAAAATTAAAATTTGTTTTCATAATTAAAATTTTAAATAATTAAAACAACATGACATTTAAATGAGGGAACTAAAAGGGAACACTCACATCACATGAACAAGAAAAAAAAAAAATTCCCTTTTCGGTTCTTCTTCTCGCGCGAGTTCATGGAATGCACTCCCGCAGTGAAAGTGCAGTTTAAAGAACGCTGAATGCATGCACATGTGGCAACCACCCATTTGGCTTTAGAGAAACTTGTCTCTGATAAAGACACTGAGTTAGTTGTCTTTTCGTAAGCTTTCAGTTTTGAGACACAGTTCAACTGCATGCTGTCTACTTTGACTCTCTTCGTTTGCACTCTTCCCTTTTTGGCCTGCTAAAGATGTTGGACCAAATTTGTTATACAGTGCTTTAAGATGTATTTTCCTATATTTGATTAAAAAAAAGATTTGGATTTAACTATAACTAACAATAAATTGATGAAGGGGTGAAGTTGTCTAATATCAATTAAGATTGAAACAAAATTGATAAAATTAAGAGATTAAGGACTCAATTGATAATGGAGGCATTGTTTGGGAGTAGAATGAGGCTTTCCCGTATTTCGAGGGTTAGGGACTCCTGCTTGAGTACATGCATGTGAATAGTAAATACCCATGGTATTCTTACAATCATACAGTATGATTATTGGATTCACCTTGCGCTCCTATTTCCCAGGATTTGTTCTTGAGAAAAATCAGGAGCAAACCTGTTTTCAGGATATATTAGGCGGCTGACGAGTAAACCTGTTTTCAGGATATACTAGATTCTATGCTTGCACGATGTTGCGGGTTCGTAGTATATTTGTGTATTGTTGTGAATTTATTAAAAAAATTATATAAAAAAATTATATGAAGAAAAACTATTATAATTTATAATGTTTTTAAAAAAAATACTATAAAATTAAATTATTAATCAGTTTAATATTTAAAAAATAAAATGAATAAAGAAAATTTAAAAAAAATAAATTATGTGGGAAAATATTATAGCAATTCACAATGTTTTAAAAAAAATATTTGATAAAGATAATTTTAAAAAAAATATAGAAAAACACTATAGCAAAACAAAATTATGTAAGGAAACATTATAATAATCTACAATGTTTTAAATAAAAAAATTACGAAGTAAAATTCTCAACTAGCTCGATATAAAAAAATAAAATCGACAAAAATTATTTTTTAAAAAAAATTCATTAAAAAAAATCATATAGGAAAATATTATAGTAATTTATAATATTTTAAAGAAAAAATTACATAACTAAATTTTTAATCAGTTTAATATTAAAAAAATTAATAAAAATAATTTTAAAAAATAAAAAAATAAAAACAATCTTAAAAAAAAACATGTAAATCCTTGAAAAACAAAAAAAACATAAAAAAAAAAACATGTGTCATGAGAAAAGCTACAATACTTTCCCCACACCATTTAGAGTATTAGTTAATTATACAGCTGACAAGGTGCAACCTCTTACGAGTATAATTTTAAATCTCGAATCTCGGCTTTCCTGATGAGTTAATTTATCCAAAACTAAAACTAATAAGAAAAATAAAAAACCTGAGTAACCTACAGGTTCATCCAATAAAAAATCTTGTTGTAATTTATTAATTATTAATTTTTTTAACAAAACAATATCTTTTTAATTTATAAAAATAATTAAGATTAACCCGATTAAGCTGATCAAAACTTGTGACCCGGACCGTGCCGGGCTGAGTTTAAAAACACTGGTTATAAGTGTGGTGCTCAAAAATTAACCCTCTTGCGCCAAATAAAAAACCAACTTAAATCCATGTAAGCCTAACTTGTATTAGATGATTACAGGTGTAGTAGTAACAGATGTTATAAAGGCTTAGCATTCTGACACATTAACAAGAAGAACTTAATCTATATGCATACAACTAAAAGCACTTCTTACATTTTTTTATATATATTGTGAATATTCTTAGATCAATGAGAAGCGATCAGCATGAGAAGAGTATCGTTTGCATCAGCTAATAGCCAGGAAGGCAATTCATGTTCCTACGATTGTGACCTTGTTTTCAGCATCTTGTCATCAGCCGAAGAATTCAAATAGGAGATCACAAGATCAGCTGCTTTGCATCCAGAGGCTATTGCTTTACCCACGGACAATCCACCTCTGTGGTTACCTGAAGATTTCATCATTCATCCAAGAATAAGAATTAGAGTAGGAATAAGAATTCAATAGGAGCAATGAAACTTCTCACATGTGGTCAACATAACCCATTTGCCTTATCTCCAGCAAAATTGCAGAGATTGGAGATTCAAATGAAATGCTACCAGTTTAGAATAGCACCAGCTTGAGGGGGGATCTTAGAATTACATGACTGGAAGTTAAATCCCAAATTTCAATCAAGAAGCACTTGCCTGCGTAGAAAAATCCAGGAAGATTTTTCTCCATTCTCTCAATTCCTTCTAACACTAAATCATAGTTCTTTCCATACAAAGGAAATGCTTTACTCCAGTAGTAATGACTGCAATCAAGTACAGTTGAAGCTGTAAGAGTATGGATCACAGTAAAGACAGTAACTCATTGCTCTTAATAAATTACTGCCAGCTTCAACTTGGGAAAAACAATAGACTAGGTAATATAATTAGCAGATTATAAACGGCTTAAGATTTAAAATACTTCACAAATTTCGGCTCTCCCTCCACCCCTAACAGCTGTCTAAGATCAGAAGTAACAATCGCTTTCAAATCATCCCTGAAAAATAAATTATTGGGAAAGAGTTTAGTTGATCAAAATTTCACCACAGTAACAATTAAAATCCAGAGTGGATAAGTGATCTTGTGTGTGAAACCAGAAAGTTGCTGACAGGAAATTACAAAATGAAAAGTTTGGAGCTTTTTATACGTTGACGCTTTTGCTAGTTCCTTGTTTCGGCTCCCACCAACAAAGGTGGTATAGAGATACAAGTCCTTGGGTGAACGATCTGGAAACATCATAGATGAGAAGAGTGTACCTGTGCAAAACAGAATTCAAGCATGGTTAGTGCAAGAGAGTATATGTATAGCTAACACATAGTGAAAATTATCCAAGTACCCCCACCGTGGTGAGCCTAGCAAAGTATTACCAAGAGTTTTTAAACCATTTTGTTGCTCCTTAGAAGGAACAAGAACTCCAAATCCTTCTAAAGGCCTCTTGACGTCCTCTTTCTTAAAGGTAGTAATTATGACTGAAAGTGGCATGTAACTCATCTGCATAATAACATGGAAAAGAATGATTCAAACCAAACCGCAAGGTTGTTAAAAAAACTTTCAGTAATTTTGGCTGGTCACTTCTGTATGAGGATGTCTCTTAGATGATAACAGTCAATTTGTGAAAAATAATCTTTTCACAGAAGCAAACTTATTTCGAGTCATCCAACTTGTGGTGCAGAATTTGCATCTAGGTAAGTATGATTTGTTCCAGGAAGGATATGCATATATTTGGACAAAAAAAATATAATAAGTTGGCATCTCATTTGGAATTTACGAGTTTTTTAGATTCTTGTTTGGTATGAAAGTATCTTCCTTTACTAGGAATAAGCAAATGAATTTGACAGAGAACGACCAGAAACTTAAATACAAATAACATTTTCAGCAATAATGCATGTAACCATACTGTGCATTTCATGTTCTGCAGCTATTTGAACAATGATGCTTGCATTTGTATACTACACCCCATGTGTAAGTAAATACATATGAAGGTATTTAATCAATAAACAAAATTGTTGGTACCTGAGGAAGAAAGTCCAGCGAGAAGCGATTTCTACCTTTATTAATATTAATTTCTTTAACATTGCACAATGGTGCCTAAATTACAAAAGTTCACTGTTAGAATGTGAAAAAAAAAAATCTTCTAAAAACAGTAAATGGTATTAGGAGTTGCATATGTGAATGTTTATGCACGCCAATGCATTTATGAGACAAAGA